CATTGTTCTTAAATCAATTTTTGCCCCCCCCCCCCGCGACCTACAGATTTCTCGCCCCCTCATGTTGAAATTCTGCCCCCCCCCCCAATCATACCATCCTGGCTACAGCCCTGTATTTCTCCGTTTTGTCTAAAATATCTAAATATTTCAAGAAAAATGTCCATGATTATCTCGAAAAATACATACTCTCTCGAGGGAAATTTGGCAATACTCGAATGCTCATATAGTGCTGTTCTTTAGCACGGCTGAAGAGCAAGAGCATGAGACAGGGATATGCGACTGAAGTACTTCAACCGATTTGAACTGCCGAGAGCCAACCAAGGGTGCCGCGGGTTTTTTTTTCGAACAAGCTCTCAAGTTTAAAAAAAAATCTGTAATCGAGGGGGTCAGGATCAGTGGCGTGGCGCGCTTTGCGATATATCGATATTCCCCCATTACAAGCTATGGTAAAGAATCGATATTTCAGGCATTTGTCTCGAACACTCTATTTATCGATCCTTTTCCAAAGGTTCAAATGGCGCAGATCAATCAATGTGTCAGTATGCACGCCACGCCACTGATGGTTGACACTGACTATGAAAAAAATTTTCGGAGTACATGTTGACGGCCTAAGTGCGAAATTGCGTTTCTCCGTTTGCGACGTTGCAGATTTCCTGTCATACTTTTCTTTTTGTAAAGCTTTGGTAACCGTAATTTCTTGAAAACTGGTTTCTTCCATATTGGTTTCATCAATCAGCGAACTCAGGTTTGTATTGATTTCTTGACGTAAAACACGGATGAAAATGAGGTGGAAAATCCATGGTATGCACTAACGCGGTGGATTACGTGGACTCCCTTCATTAATATTGGACATTAGAACTTGGCCAGTGAACAGATCTAGCACAATTTACAATGCCATGTTTGTCAATAAGCGATACCTCCCTTAGATTTGGACGTTGACACTTAGAGTTGTAACGAATCTGATCAAGTTTAGGTCATCAAAGAACGATTAATGGTAGAACTACTACGAGTAGTACTACGACAATACTAACGATTCAAAATACGATAATTGAATGGCAGATCAATCGATATATCGCAAATCACGCCATGCCACTGGTCAGGATCATTCATGTTAGGGTGAAAGGTTACCTTCATGTCCAGTCAAACTCTCTATGCAAAGCCAGGAAGTTTATACACTAGCGGAGTTGCTGTGCGGTTCCAGATTTTGAGTGCCCAAACAAAATGGCAACATTGATCATTTTTTCGCTGTCTAGCTGCGTATGGAGAGTTTAACTGGACAGAGACGAACGGTTACTATTACCATGACGCAAGCGATTCCGTTAATTGCTGTCTCAACTTTAATTTTTTTTTTGAGAGAGAGAGAGTTGGATTCCGAGAGAAACAGTGTCACCTTCGTGTTTTTCACAAAGTTTTACAGATAAAAATTGTTTTATGTCGCATCATACCACGCATGGGAGAGCTAAATTCCGTCACTCATTTTTTTATTTCTTTCTAATTTTCAAGTCTGTAAGTCTATAATTCTCCGAATAATGTAAAAAAATCACTTGAAATGATGATCTCAACTTTGATTGTTTTTTTGAGAGAGAGAGAGTTGGATTCCGAGAGAACCAGTGTCAACTTCGTGTTTTTCACAAAGTTTTACAGATAAATTTATTTTTTATTTCGCAACATCCCACGCATGGGAGAGCTAAATTCCGTCACTCATTTTTTTTCTTTCTAATTTTCAAGTCTACAAGTCTATAATTCTCCGAATAATGTAAAAAAAAATCACTTGAAATAATGATCTCAACTTTGATTGGTTTTTTGAGAGAGAGAGTTGGATTCCGAGAGAACCAGTGTCACCTTCGTGTTTTTCACAAAGTTTTACAGAACAAAAAATTTTATTTCGCATCATTCCACGCATGGGAGAGCTGAATTCCGTCCATCATTTTTTTTTTTCTTTCTAATTTTCAAGTCTACAAGTCTATAATTCTCCGAATAATGGAAAAAAATCACTCGAAATGAAGCTTGATAATCAATTTCTCATTAAACTTCTTTTTTTCTTTTCTTTTTATGTTTCGATGAAGCAGACTTAAATTGTCTAGCAGACGCATGTTCTACACTTCTACAGGGTGGCTCAGACCTACCGTACCAGGCTCCTTTTCCAAGAAAAAGTGGTTTCTGAGTTCTGAAAGGTGGTTAGTTGAACAGAGAATTGACCCCATGGAATTCGAATTTCATGTTTTCAGAATCCCTCCACCCCTTTTTGGGGATATGGCAAGATAAGTTGAAAAATGAAATCTACAATTTTTCGAGTGTTTTCCGATGACTTCGAGGAAAACTTGCGTTGATTCTTC